AAAAAAAAACAAAACAAAATCATGGTTTTGTCTAAGAATAGATCTGCAGTTGGCTACCTTATCGAGAATTCTCCTCATTCAACATCGTGACTATAATCTTTTTCTGCTATGTCATATTTTTAAGACATCGAGTACATTTTAGACGGCAAGTATTTTACTTCTGCGTAAGACAATCGTTTAATGCATTTATTTCATACTGAGGGCCTCAAAAGCTCTTGAAGTCACAGTGAACAATCCTTAGCCTATGTTTTGATTTATTAGACTGGACATAATTTCGTCGTGAAAAAATACAGGCTGACGGATTAAAAAGTTTTCACATCAGTCCATCTGGGTGCCTCTCGTAGATATTCCAAATTAACTCGCTCACACGCGACAAAAATTGCATAAAATCACTTTAACAGTCCTCAGCACACCGTTAACAAAGAAAATACAACTTTACTCTACCCGTTTTGCTGTTTTCTGCTGATTTTTTAAGCAAAAACATGCCGGCGCACATTCCTGATGCATCACATCGTCATCCGAAAAGGAAATTCATGCTCTCATACTCCGTACATATTGTTAAAGTGCGAAACTCAACCGCTATTCTCACATATGTTTTCCAAAGCGCACCTGTTTCTAGTTGTGCCCAAAGCTTGGATTTATCAGTGTTATGGCAAGCAAAATGTCTCACCCTGTAACCGGTTTGCTCCGGATAGCCGTAGGCTTTATTGATTTTCTCAAACTTTTCTCCATCTGTCATTGAGCGTGTCGTTGCATCTTTGAGTTAGCGATACACGTAGCTCTTTAACATATCGCCTCAGTCACCTACATATCCCGCGTTTTCGTAGCAACAGTCAGAATTTGTAACTATTGGCTGCAGGGATCATGTCAAAATACAAAGACTGGCTGAACATTCAATGCATCAAAACGTCATAGTGACCGCTGTCAGGCTAGTGAATCCATTGGAAATCACCTGCCTCCGCTGAGCAGATACAACCATTAAAGTACTTGCAAAACCAAAGGACCTTACCCATAGCCCTCCAGCATATAATCCCGACTCATTGAGATTTTTTCAACTGGCGAAAGCTAGTGTTCCTAAAATGTAGAAGTAAAGTTCTGAACCTTTTTTCTGTTTACTTACTTTCTCCACTTACAGAAACTTAGTTCTTCATCCGTTATTCGAAATCGTCCAACGATGGCTTCGGAATCTGACAGCGCGGTCGATATCAGTACGGACTCAGCCTACATCACAGCTCCATGTGGTGAAACGGCTGCGGAACGATCAAGCTTTCTTTCCGTCTTTGATGTGTACGATATTGCAGCTGCAATTGGCAAGGAATTCGAGAGCATCATTGATAAACATGGTTCAGACTCAGTCTGCAACCTTATGCCCAAAGTCATCCACATTCTGGAGGAACTTGAAGACTACGCCTCCCGCCTTGAAAGCCAAGACGGCGAAATATTGGCTCTTCAGGCAGCTGTTGATCGAATTGAACTTGATAGACTTTCACATGCGCAAGATCGGCTCAGATGCGAACAAGTAAGTAGTAAGAACAAGTATTATACAATCTTACCTTTCATATTCTACCATTGCAATTTGATCCCAATGACAGGACGGCAACCGACTGAACTATCTCCTATTTTACTTCCCAACAAACAGCAAGGTTCATTTTAGCGGAATCAGTTTATTTACCTTTCATTGGACCCAATTATGAAAAACTCGGCCGCCCTTATGGGATTCGATCCCAAGCCTGAACGGGAAAGCCCTTAATGTGATTAAATTCATGACTCCCGGTGGGGGTTTCGTGGCTCGATTAGCTAGAGCGTTGGGTGTACTTAAGTCTTTCCTCTGCTGGTGTGTCCGAACCCAACCTAGGCTACTGAGTTTTAAACAATTGGGTCAATTGAATTATTCAAATCTGCCACCCTCCTTACTAATTTTTTACCTTTGTCGGCTTTTGTTCTACATCCTCATCACCATTAATGATACCATCTATATCACCGCATCCCTTATTGTAGTTGACTTCGAACATTCTTAGTCTAGGCTTCGATTTCACCTATCGCTTCATGCTTAAGTGCGTGGAGGTGGACTGAATTACAAAAGTTGTAGTAAATGCTTTTGCTGTGTGTTCTCTGATTAATTCTCTGAAATTTTACCAAAGTGACGTGCTCAATAATCTCTTTTGCAATAGACAGATAAATGGACTTTTTCCTCCTTAGTACCACGGTTCCTAGTTTTAAAGAGAAATCTTGTCTTATCCTCATCCTGCGTTGTTTTTCTTTGATTATTAATCTTTCCATGCACCTATTTTTATGCAATGGAAGTTCAATATTGCGGAATATTTTCGTTCCATTTCAATGAATTATGTTAAGTCTATGCCGTGGGAAGTTGTTTCCTTCCCAAAAGAGGTTTTCAGTTCGCGTGTTAACTAGTAAAACGTGTTTTCTACCAGCTTTTCTCATTGTTCTTTGTAGGAGATGCTAAAACTGGAACAAACTTGGCAAGCTGAGGCTGCGGAGTTTAGACAAATTATTCAGAGGTTGAAAGATGAAAATATGTTTCTCATAAGAGCTCTCAATGCAGCCAAAGTCTCCGACGAGTGTCCTTATAGTGAAGTTTCCGGTGAGATCTGATTGACTGCCTTTTGCCACTGTGTTTACCTCTTTTTTGCTAGTTTAATTTGCCTGCCCATTTGTGGTGTTGTGGTTTATTCGAATGGAATTTTCACCGCAACGATTAAGCTTGCTCCCTTGAGACATGCTTCTGATCGCTGTGTAAGGGTTCCAATATAAGCCCCAAGACACATCCAGACGAGCATATCCTGTAGCGCTGCCGGTGAATTAAATTCCCAAGCTAACTAGCATATGTTTGGATCTGAAATCCTTGGCAATCATTCACTTAACTCCCCAAGTCGTAGGCGTAATCCTCTCGACTTCCTTAAATATCCTGGCAGTTTATCGCTATCAGACATAGTTTCGGGCCCAGTGCGCACTGCCGGATGATTATTTGTCTGGTGACTAGATGAACGCTCGCTCTCATACGCTTTACTTGACATGAAACAAGACCTCTGTCTCATCAAACCATTGCTATTCAGATGTCTTGCATAATAGTTTTCTCCTATGCGGCGATTTCATCTTGCCACAGTACTTTATGCGTTTGTGATAGTATGTTGCTTAGTGCCACAGTTCATGTCAACGGAGTGCATAGAGGCTTTTACGTCGGAGTTACACACTCTCGCCATTGCACAGAAAGCAGGCTTGTTCCACCTCCGGTATCCTCGGAATACGTTTGAAAAGCTAAAACGCTTTCGCTTGTTTGTACTAACCCACACAGTCTTTCGAACCGCGAGATTTTCGCGTTCTCCATCAATGAACCTTTTTCGATCTAAGTTGTGTTCATTTTAAGTAAAATATTGAATCTTCAAGTAGCTATGCTTAAATTGGTTTCAGAGACAGCCGGTGAGGAAGTGAGGCTTATGCTACGACTGAAGGAAGTAATCGACCGGCAAAGGATTGAGATACGGGCGCTGAAGAGGCAACTGGCGCAGACTTCTATCGACCTCGACGCCGTGAGTTGGTCAATTTTATTGGCACTTAATTGCACATGTAGAAGATTCTGTCTTGGTGCACAAGCGGACGTCACTTGTAGGTAGGCTTTTTCTGGGAATATGTACTTCTATTAACTCAACTGGTAGTATGTTCTCCGCCGCACTAGAAGATCAGTGCAATTTTGTAAAGTATGCTAGTATCCTTGAGATGCCAGCAAATGTTCTAAGATCTTCGCGGTTCTTAATTGACTAGTAAATAGTTCCTGCAGTTTGCAGTTATAATAACCTTTAAAATAAAACAGACCGTGAGAGCCCTTATCGGTATAGCAAGTTTTTACCGCTTCAATTTCTGCAGGAAGTGGTTTGGTTTTGCGTGCGTAAATCCACCTTATCCGGAAACCTAATCGTGGAGGCAAACAGACACTAACAGTGAGGGTCTGCAACAAAGATAATCTTCTTCAATAAAAAAATCCTTATAAGTGGTCTCTTCAAAAAGTGCTTAGCCGGGGTATTTTGTAGTAGAATGTCCATATCATTCACCGTCTTTCGAGAAAAGATTAGAGGAAAATCAAAACAGTATGCTCAGTTATATGCTTTACGATATGAAAAAAATTTTCACTGCAACCAAAAAGTTCCAGTTCCTTTTCATTTCGAAAACGTTTTCGGCTTCTTAGTGACAATAAATAACCACTTGAAACACAAACGTCCCTGACTTCATTGAAACACCTAGTGAGCTCTTTGTTTAGCTTAACCTAAGCCGTGTAATCTAGCTCTGATTTCTTACAGAGGATGATTACAGTTATATACAATGTAGTGTAATGTTTAGGACTTCCTACGCTCACGGTTCGTTCTCTGTAATACTATTAGGTTTGAATTGTTTTTATTTAAAAAGGCCTTCCGGACTCTTGTTTGCCCTTTTTGAGTTAACCCTATCTTTTTTCGCTTCTAATAAATTAGCTCCTTCTACATTTGAACCCAAAAGTTTACTTGAATGATAATTTTCGCTTTCGGATTTTCAGATACAACAGCAAGCAAACCGACTAGCCAAACTCAATGCTGTGCTTAGGCGAAAACACGGAGTTAGCAAGCGTCAAGCGGCTCAGCTAGCGGAAGACAAGTCTGAACTGGAAACTCGACTCTTAGCGAAAGAACA